CGTGGTATGCATTGTGCGCTTTGACTCGATTCCATTCTTTTCCTGTAATAAAGGACATAAGATGATGACAAGGCCTATGTTCGAATGGTACTAACCACCCTCTGGACGATCTGTAAGAGTGTCTTGGCTCCAATGGCCTTATCGCCGTCCGAAGCGACGACTTCACTGGCAAACGCCTTGACACGATCCAGAATATTTAGATCCTCCTTCTCCAAGACGTCGATGAGTTTGCGCATAGTGTTGATAACCCTGGAACAATTGTGAGCTAATGCCATGCAATAGAAAAGAGCAAGTACCTCAAGCGAATCAGATTCTTCTTGGCAGTCATCCACTCTTGCAACTGCTCTGGGGTCAAACCTTCGGGTGGTGTTATGTTGTATCGTTCTACCAGCATGTCGAACACTTGGTCAATCGTGGCAAAGCTCTTGAAGGTCATCATAAAGGTCTCATTAAACCGAGCATCTGTAAGGAAACTCTTTAGAGAAATTGACTAATCAAAAGGAATGATTGGTACGAACCGCTTCCACTGTGCATGGTGAGCCTCTCGATCAAAGCAGGTAAAGTACCAGCCCTGACACCTCCGTCCGGGTTCAGCACAATTTCTGCTGGGCTGTGGTGATCCAGCCTGAGATAGGCAGGTAATTGGTTCATCTTTTGCTGGTCCTTGTAATTTGTCGGCGGGGCAGTACCAAGCAATTTCTTTAGTTTCTCTTCACTCGCAGGCGCCTTCTTTTTCTCTGCAATAACGACATGAGTATGTACCATGGGATTATAAGGAATAAACTTACTCGGTTCGAATTCAGAATCGTCTGACAATTGCTTGTCATCTTCGCCTGTGTCTGCCACACCAGATCCGTTGATGCCAACAGCCGTAGAAGAATTGCCAACAGACGAAGGAGCATCAGTTGTGCCCCCTGTCGTTGCAATCGATGGGTCCCTTTCTCCACGGAAGACGTGTTGTCTCCCAGTTGGCCTCGACGCTCCTCCTAGGGCAATCGTCATCGAAACCATATCTTCGCCGCCGTCTCCTTCTCCTTCAGCATCATACACTTCGCCGTCTACACCAGGATGGGGAATGCCCATCGACTTCAACACGTCGTTGGCGTCGCCAGTGTACCCTGGGCCTCCTGGATACCATGGGTCTTGACCATATTGGGGTTGTCGTTCTCGCTGTTTCTGGAGAAGCCTAGCATAGTGTTCTGGGTGATGAGGATACTCGACATCGTCGTCGTATCCAGTTGCTGCTTGACCAATAGGTTCTCGTCCGGCGTTGACTTCATCTTGTTCATGAGCGATATTGAGGAGCAGTTCGAGAGCTTCCATGACGGTACCGAGGTTGGACTGGATTGCTGGTATAGCAGTTTGAAGCAAGACGTCGACGGGGCCGCCTGGTTTCATGCTGGACGAAGAAGTGACAGAGAGGGTTCCAAAACTACTGACATGGATCGCCTGACTCGTCATGAGGAGGACGGCTCCATCATCGTAGAGAGCTTGTTTGGCAGTTTCAAAGGTACGAATGAGTTCACGTGCTCTCTTGACACCTGCAAGATATGCGTCGTCATCTCCATCCGTACCCATGACATCCACAGCCGTAGCAATATGCACATCCTCCGCATGGAGCAAAAAGTCAGTGATATGACCAATGACCAATCGACCATTGAGGATCACGAGATCTGCCGCACGAGTATCGTATTCGCCTCGGGGCAAGTTCGCCGTAGATGCTGCCTTGTATTTCTCAATAGCCATTCGGAGCGAGTTCATCTTTTCTTCTGCAGCCAGCTTGAGGCCAGCCAGTTCGCTGACGACCTCTCGTCCCAATCGGATTTCTGGGCCACCTGTACCACCCAGCGTCGAGTCGCCGACAGGTACGAAGCCGGCACCCTTCCATCCACCAGCAACACCGGCACCAATCAATCCTGGGCCGATACCAGCGCTTCCTTCTCCAGGGATCATGACACCTTGCAATCTCTTGGCTCTGGAGCTCGCTGCGGTCCGTTGGATCTGGTATACGAATGTAGTCACAGCACGTTGCAGCTCTGCTGCATCCGACTCGACACGTCCACCCGCACCTGCTCTTCCTCCTGGCCAATCTGGGTTCGAATTGACGGCCCTCGCAGAGAGGACGAGCTTGGAGAGGGTGGCGGTGACCTTTCGCTGATACGGTTTGATCTCTTGACGGACCCAATCCACATCCTCATTCAGTCCCGCACCAACGCTGTTCAACCCACCACCACCGCTATGATTGGTGAGGGCGGTGCTCCCTAGGTTGGGTAGGGAGCCAGTGAGAGTACCCGAGACGTACAACAGGTTTCGAACGGCGACGACCACGAGGGCGACACGGTCTGCCATGGTCTGCACGCGAGCTGTTTCTGTTGATGTGCGGTCATTTAGGCTATCGACGAGCGTAGTGGTAGGCGAGACGGCGGATTGGGGTTGAGCTGGATCCCCATTCATACCATTGACACCGTTCGCCTTGGTTCCATCTGCGTTCCCTGAAAAGGCCTCGACGACGGCACTGATGGCTTCGCCTGCCTTGTCCGAGTAGATGGTAAGGGGTGGCAAAGAAGGGGGTGCCATCTCGCTCTGCAATGCAAGAGCGACCTGAAGAGGATTCGCAATACCCGTAGCCTGCAAAGCAGCCGTCGCTTCTCCTGGTTTCCCACCAGGTGTAGGCCAGGGTCGGACGTTGGCCGTGCTCGTCGTGTTCGTGCTCGAGCTCAGCTGGGTGAGACCGGGATCGGTATTGTGATGCGTAATCCCAGGTCGTAGATCCTTGCCATAAGGGCTGACTTCGGAATCATCAGAGTAGACACTGGCCCGTCGATTATCCCGTTCACGCCCGCTATAACTCGCTTCGGAGCCGGCTCGATCACGGGTGCCAAGCCGTGTAGCCCCGGGACGAGGTTGAAAGTGGGTTTGGCTCGAGTTTTGATGGTTGTACAGATCCCCTCCTCCTTGATGCGGTACTGATCCCTGTTGTATTGGTTGTTGTTGCTGCTGCTGGCCAGCCCTATTCCCGGCACCACTAGTAGCATTCGCATTGGGTCCGTATCCGTGGCTGCCCTGTCCCTGACCACCGCTTTGATAGCCGTCCAAGGTCGGTTCCGGTCTGGCCCAACTTGCTTCCTCGGTGACGGGGTTGTAATAGTAATATGCTTGTCCATCGTCGGTCAGCCTCTTGACCCACGGCTCTGGAGTTTCGCTTCGATGATAGATACCAAGCCCACGGCCATGCTCACCAGCAACAACCGCACCCTGGTGCAGCGGCTGCTGCTGCTGCTACTGCCCAGCAAGTCGTCGACCCATCAGCACATCGTAGCCACGGGTCCGCCTATCCACACCCAAACCTCCAAAACCAACCCGAGTACTGGGAGGACAGAACAAGACCCACGCAAGACTATTGGATTCCAAAGGTAACAGAGACCGGCCAGGTACGTGTTTTTGTTTTCTTTTCACAAATGATCGCTACTCTTCTCCCCTTTCCTAGTATATCGCGCACTATAGGATGCTCATCTCTGTTTCGTTTTGGTCTAGATTTATTATGTAAACTCGGTCACTGGTCAGCAGTCGCGCGACCTGCCGATGGATGATACAGCACACGAATCTCATCTACCCCGGGAGGCGCATCATAACGGCGCCGCCCCACAGGCAAGCGTCCCACACATCAATACAAACGTCTCTCACGCCCACGTCAACAATGGAGCTACGATGGGCTACTCGACGGTCCCTTCGAATACCCGAAGTCGCAGTGGCACCACCACAAGCCAAGCTTCTTCTTCACGCGGCGAAACTATCGGCACATCACACAGACTAGGCACAAGCACAGTCGGGAGTTATAGTTCGAGTGGGCTCAATAGTGCCGTTGCGTCTACAAATCCAAGCGGTGGGATTACTGGTGGTGGCGGCGCTAACGGCCCTATTGCCGCGGGCTTTGGTATCTATCATCGAAGCGAAACTCCAGAGCCGTGGGTCAAGAGGCTGACCGACGATGGACA